CTGGCGTGACGCTGGGGGATAAAGCACGGGATCAGAAAAAAAAAAAACCAAGTGGGAGAATGTCTTAGTACTAAGTACTGCTATAACAGAAATACCACAAGCATATGGTCTCACTGTTTTGGAGGCTTGGTTGTTGTTAAGTGCTGAGTCAAGTCTGTTCCAACCCATAGCAACCCTGTACAGGGTTTCCGAGGAGGAGCTACAAGTCCAGAATTCAGAGCACCAGCTCTAGGGGAAGGTTTTCTGTGTCTGTGGATTCTGGAGGAAGGTCCTTGTCTCCAGCTTCGTCTGTCTGGGGGATCTCCCAGAGTCTTGATAGCTATCTTACCCTATCTCTGCTAACTTGAGTTTAATTCTATTTTTACATTTCAATAAAGAATGGCTCAAAACACATACTACACCAAATTCATCTCATCAACATAACAAAAACAATACATTCCCAAATGTGATTTTTGTTGCAGAGTGCCCAAAAGTTGGTTCCAATTGATCTTGTATAGGGTTTCTGAGGCTGCCTATCTTTGTTGTTGTTATGTGCTGTGGAGTCGGTTCTGACTCATAGTGACCCTGTACAGGGTTTCCAAGGCGGTAAATCTTCACAGGAACAGAAAGCCTCATCTTTCTCCCGCGGATCAGCTGGTAGTTTCAAACTGCTGACCGTGAGATTAGCAGCCCCATTCGTAACCACTAGGCTACCAGAGCTCCTTTACAGGAGCAAAAAGTCTCATTTTCCCCACAGAATGGCTGGTAGTTTGAACTGCGGACCTAGTTGTTAAGTGCTTATCCTACAGCGCCACCAGTGCTTAACCACAGGCATGTTATTGTTGTAGTTGTTATTAAGACCATGGAGTTGGTTCCCACTCATAGCAACCCTATATAGGGTTTCTTGAAGTCCTGGAGTGGCACTGTAGGTTAATGCTCTGAATTGAAAAGTTGGTATGAACCACAGGGTCACTATGGGTCAGAATCGACTCGACAGCACTTAACAATAGGGTTTCCAAGGAGGGCTGGTGGGTTTGAACTGCCAACCATCTAGTGCTCGTCCTACAGTGCCACACCAGGATTCCACGGGAATAGAGGTTAGGAATTAGAACACACATATACACACACATATATTGGGGGCAGGGGACACAATACAATCAATAACAGGGGTTGTTAAATGCCATCCAGTCAGTTCGGACCCATAGCAATGCTGCCTGTTATAAGGGTTTCCTGTATAAGCTTGAACCACTGACCTTGTTTATACCTCACCTTAATCGCAGGGAAGGGATCCTTAAGGAGAGGTCCTTAAGATCCTTAAAGTAGAAAGCTTAACCAAAGTTTAAACATTTTGCTTCTGATTGATCTATGGGGACAAGTCATGGGAATCTGGAGGGTCTAGATCTGGCCTTGTCCTAGGTAAACAATGGCATATTCAAGAGACATCTAAATCATAGGATGTTAAGTGCCATCGAGTCTATTTTGACTCATAGTGATTCTGTATAAGGTTTCCGAGGAGCAACCGATGAATTTGAACCACCAACCTTGAGGTCGAGTGCTTAACCTGGTGCTACACCAGGATGCTGGTAGGCATAACTAGTTGCAGTAAGCCTTTTCCTGAACACAAAGGGGTGGATTTCTTAAAACAAGCAGTTTTCTAAGATCACAGGGTTCAGGTAAAACTTAAATTCAATCCACAGGAATGCAATATACAGGAAATAGAAGGTAAGAGTCTATCATTGTAAAAGACACCTTGGCATGGAAATTCCTTATTTGACTACTACAAAAAAAAGGGGAGGGGGGGATTTGCAATGTCTAATTAAATAACCCTGACAACACAAATAACTGAGTTTATCTACTGTCAGTTTGGGGGAAGGTACAGATTCGTTGATGTTGGGAGAATTTTGGGCATGATGGTGACGTGTTGGGGTGGGTGGCGCACAGGTCGATGTCCTCAAAATAGCCCCACCAGGTAGGCCTCGCACACCTCCTGCAGCACTATCACAGCCGAACTCTTTAGTGCAGGTCAGTCTCGAAGTCCTGAACCATCTCGCGCACCAGCCTCTGGAGCTGCAGCTTCGTGGACTTCTTGTAGCGCCGGATCTCACGGTGTCTGCAGAACAAACTACCTTTTTCATGTACCTACTTAAAACTAATGGCTGTGAACGGATTTGGTTACAAACAAAATAGCGACCTAATGGATGTCTGGGGATCAGTGGTGGCTCCACAGAATAAACACTGGACTGGGACCCAAAGTCAGCGGGTCAAGTCCGCCTGTCGCTCCGCAGAAACTGCGGATTTTCTGCTCCCACAAGATTTAAAGTCTCGATAGCTTATACAGGAAGGGGTTGCTGTGAGTCGGAAGCCAAGCAAGGGCACTGAAGATTCCAGCACGTGGTAGTTTCATTTTCCAGACTCAATTATTTTAAACAAGAGCCAGGGTGTGGGTGCTGGCGTGACGCTGGGGGATAAAGCACGGGACCACCGAGGTCATTTGAAAGAATCATTAAGACTCAAGAGAGCATCTAACTTACTACAAGGGAGCCAAACTTATGACTCAGCTTTTCCTATGTTTCTTAGTACTTCGCCCCCCAGTTCATAGTATTACATTCTTTTCCAGAAAGTGTGGGTGGCTCTGAAAAGAGCCTTTGGTTTGAGTTGAGTTTTTTGCAGTTTACAGTAAACTACTTTAAGGATTTACTTGCCCTTGGCCTTGTGGTGGCTCTCGGTCTTCTTGGGCAGTAGAACAGCCTGGATGTTGGGCAAGACGCCACCCTGCGCAATGGTGACTTTACCCAGCAACTTGTTGAGTTCCTCATCATTGCGGATGGCTAGCTGCAAGTGGCGCGGAATGATGCGCGTTTTCTTGTTGTCACGGGCAGCGTTGCCCGCCAGCTCCAGGATCTCAGCTGTCAGGTATTCCAGCACGGCAGCCAGGTACACGGGAGCACCGGCCCCAACCCGCTCGGCATAGTTGCCCTTGCGGAGAAGGCGGTGGACACGGCCCACTGGAAATTGAAGACCGGCACGGGAAGACCGAGTCTTAGCCTTGGCGCGAGCCTTACCACCTTGCTTTCCACGTCCAGACATAGCGATCTTGTTAAACTGACAAGCTACTGAGACGAGAGTGCAACTGCAGCACTTTTTATAGCCATTGTGAGGCGCGAAAAAGAAGACGTGCCATTGGCTAACATTGTAGCTTTATTTTAGCCAATGGCAATACGACGTTTAACTTCACTTATTTTGATTTGACAAAGTCTAAATCGTGACGTCTTAACGAATAACGACCAGTCAGACCCAGTACTTCAGTTCGTCCTTAATTTGTATAAAGCTCTTTATAAAAAGAGGACACATCTTCCGCAGCTTTCACTTTCTCTTGTTTTAGAGCATATCTTTGTTTTTCTCACCATGCCTGAGCCATCTAAATCTGCTCCGGCACCTAAAAAGGGCTCTAAGAAGGCGGTGACTAAGGCCCAGAAGAAGGACGGCAAAAAGCGTAAGCGGAGCCGCAAGGAAAGCTACTCCATTTATGTGTACAAGGTGCTGAAGCAGGTCCACCCTGATACTGGCATTTCATCAAAGGCCATGGGGATTATGAACTCCTTCGTGAATGACATCTTCGAGCGCATCGCTGGTGAGGCATCTCGACTGGCACATTACAACAAGCGCTCGACCATCACCTCCAGGGAGATCCAGACGGCCGTGCGCCTGCTGCTACCGGGAGAACTGGCCAAGCATGCAGTGTCCGAAGGCACCAAAGCCGTCACCAAGTACACCAGCGCCAAATAAACAGTAAGTTGGCTGCAAACAACAAACGGCTCTTTTAAGAGCCACCCACATTTTCAAAGAGAGCTGGTACTTGCATTTTCATCTTTAGGGACACGTTTACCCTTGTGAACTTCTGAAGAAGTCAGTTCTTTACTTTTAAAGGCAGGGCTATGTACCTTTAAAACAAAATGCCATCAAGTCGGTGCCAACTCGAGTGGGTGGTGAGTTTGAACCACCGACTTTGCGGTTCAAACCGACCTTGATTGAGATCGAGTTCCCATCTGGAGGCACAAAAAGGACACGTTCCAGTTACCTAGTAGATTTTTAGCAAGTATTCGTTTATGCAGATCACTACATGTGTTTAAGTACTCCATAGCACAGTAGACATGCCCTCACGGTTTTCTAGGCTAGAGTTTTTATAGGAGTCCTGGTGTGGCGCTGGACAGCGGGTTACTGTGCTGGACTGCAAGGTCGCTTTTAGCTTCAAAGTTGGTGGTTCAAAAGTGTTTTCTAGTCGGTTCAGACTCAGTGACTCTAGGATTTTCAAGGAGCGACTGGTGGATTTCAGCCACAGTTCTTGCGGATAGCAGTTCAGCTTATTCTACAGCACCACATCAGAACTCCTTAAGTGCTGTCTAATCGGTCCTGACTCATAGCAACCCTGTATAGATGGGTTTACGAAAGCGGCTGGGAGCGTTTAAACTAGTAACCTCGAAGTTCAAACCGATCTTGCAGTCCAGTGCCTTATCCTACAGTGCCAAACCCCAGGACTCCTAATGTTACTTAATTCTGATTAAAATTTAGGGATTATTGTATAAATTAACATAATCCTTTTCTTTTTGTCTTTTAGGAACCTTCTACATGTAAAACGTGAGTTTCAAGCAAATTCATACTTCCTGGTCCTGGTTGAGTTACACTAAAGTTGGACTCGCGCCGGGAAGCAATGGTTACGCGGGCAATTTGAATTTGTGTGGGAGCGTCCTGGTTGGTTGGCAGCATGCAGCGCCTGCAGATATGCAAATATGCGAACAGGAAATCCAGGCCTCCCCCCACCCCAGCCCCACAAATCCACTAACCTACGGATTGAGTAAACAAAACCGATTAGTTGGCCCTGTTTTTTCATCTTCCGTTTTATTTTAGCTCTTTTCCGGAAGGTGATCTAATATTTCCCTGCATTTTTGTTGGACAGAAAGGGTGATTTACAATCAGAAAGGCTATACTGTGTTTCTAATTAGGAAACCTTTGGCTTTACTGTACATCCATGTAAGAATTACAAGAGGAAACAAGACTTTGGAGTGTAATAAAGGCAAAAAGACTTGAGGGCGTTTATCCCAGATTCTAGACTCTTGAAACTAGAACTTTTTGCTTGGTATTTTAAGTTCTGTGTCGGACTCTGCCTGGAACCACTGAGGAAATATGTTTTAAATGATTCAGGTTGTCGTAAATGAGAATCACTCATCAAATGATAACGTTTCTTTGGATTATAATTACTTAAAATTACATGTCTTACATAAAAATCAAGGTCTGAAATAGACTTCACACTATGGCTGGGTTTGGGCTTTTGTTGCTATATGCTCTCAAATCAGTTCTGACTCATAGAAACCCTATGTAAGGTTTCCAAGGAGTGGCTGGTGAGTTTGGACTGTGAACCTCATGGTTCAAACTGACCTTGCAGTCCAGTGCTTTATCCTACAGCACCACAGCAAGACCAAGAGTTTGGATTTAGACACTTAACAACAACGATTTTAAATTACTGCCTGTTGTTAAGTGCCTTCGAGTTGGTTCAAACCCATTATAGGGTTTGTGAGGTGCCGCTAGTGAGCTTGAACCGGCAACCTTGCAGTTCAAACTGACCTTTCAGTGGATTGCTTTATCCTATAGCAGCATACCAAGACTAAAACTACTGCCTAATGTGTCTAAAACGGAACCAAATTTAAAATGCCCTTAAATGTTTGAAATAAGCAGTTTGTTAATTCATTTCCCCTTTTTTATTCAGATTGTACACCTCTTTAAAGGCCCACTGTAATCTTAACGGTTCTCTGAAATGTCTTCCCTTTTTAAAGCTGCTGTTTAACAAGTTGTCTAGCCTTTTAAAACTGCTTTCACATGGTTTCTTACATATGTCTACTTGTATTCTGTCTGGTTTGTTGAATGTACAACTCGTCATCATGAAATATATACTCTTTATGGCATGAAAGACAGAAAACAGTATTTTCTTCCTATGCTATCCCATGCTAATGATAACTGAGTCCTATGATTAAACACAGTATCTGTTATTTTTATGTCATGACTTGTTATGTTTCATGAAACCCTGATATACCCAAAATCCAAATCCACTGCCTTCCAGTAGATTCTAACTCATAGCTACCCTATAGGATAGACTAGAAGTACTCCTTAAGGGTTTCCAAGATTATGAGTTTTTAACTGCCTCATGGTTCTTCCAGAATGGCTAGTAAATTCACATCCCAACGTTTCAGTTAGCAGCCCAGTATTTAACCCATTATACCACCAGAGCTCCTTTAAGGCTCTGATAAATTCCATTAATCCAAATTATCTGGTAATTTCCAAGATGAATCTTTTTGTTGTTTATTTTTTCCATGGAACCAGGACTACCATGACAGGTGTTTCAATGCAGACATGAGAGTGTTTTTCATTGCTAGGGGAGCCCTGAACAAAAGATTCCTGCTTTGTGGCCAGTGGCCAAAGGGAAGCACTGGTATGGGGCTGCAAGATAAGCACTGGACTGCTAACTTCAAGATCGGCAGTTCAAAACCACCAGTTGCTATGAGTTGGAACACAACATCAGTGGAGGTTTAGGGTTGGAAAGGTACTGGATATAAAAATGTCTCAAGGCCCCCTGATATGATGGTCTCAGCAGAGGGGCTGGAGAGAGCCATTGGCCAAGGACTCCTGTTGCTAACTCCTTTGTTGTTAGTACCTTCAACTTGCTTCTGGCTCAGTGACATCTGTGCTAATATTTACCTTGTGGCCCTGGCCCATTGGGATACAGTGGAGCAGTGGAGACGCTGGCTCTTCCTTTGGTTTAACTTCCTGCATATATTAATTAGTACAGTAAGTGATTAGACTTGACTCTTCATTTTTGGTTGCCTTAGTTAACTACTATAACAGCTGGCAGTTAAATTTAGCTTTCCAACTCCTGACAAAAGTGACAAAAATACCCAAGAAGTTTCTGATAAGGTAGAACATGATTTAGTGGATACAGACCCATATAGCTAACTGTTAGGTGGTGTTGCACAGAGGTAAATACATTCACCAATTGAATTAGATAGAAATTCAAGGATCAGATCTAATTTTTTGGTTGACATGTCAGAATGATAAGTGGGATCGATTTCAAATTAGTAAGGAAAAAATAGGCTGTTTAAAATCATTTTAAGGACGATTTGTTATTCACATGTTTAAAACCAAGTCCTGTTGTTGTTAGGTGCCATAGAGTTGGTACTGACTCATAGTGACCCTATGTACAGCAGAACAAAACACTGCCCGATCCTGGGCCAACCTCACTACTGTTGCCACGCTTGAGTCCATCGATGCTGCCACTTGGTCAATCCATCTCTTTGGGAAGGGGGGGGGTCTTCCTCTTTTTCTTTGACCCTCCATCTTACCAAACATGATATCCTTCTCCATTGACTGGTTCCTCCTGACAAAGTATGAGAGACAAAGTTTGGCCATCTTGACCTCCAAGGAGCACTCTGGCTGCACATCTTCCAAGACAGATCTATTGGTTCTTCTGGCAGCCCATGGCACTTTCAATATTCTCCTCCAACACCATAATTCAAAGACATCAATTCTTCTAAGGTCTTCCTTATTCACTGTCCAATGAGATGGACTGGACATTGTTTAGTTCTGCTGTGCATATAAGGTCTCTAAGAGTCGGTGCTGACTCAATGGCACCTAACAACAACAACATCGCCATCTTGTGGCTATTTAGAATAAATGTAGCTAAAACTTGTGGCTTATGGTTTTGATTAGGCATTTTTTACTCTAGTGTTTAATAATCTTATATATAAATACATTAAGCAATTTCACTTCCATCCTTCCTCCCAGTCTATAGCTTAAGGCATATATTTTGTTGCTGTTTTAAGTGCTGTCGAGTCAGTTCCAACTCATAGTAACCCTGTATAGGGTTTCCAAGGAGCAACTGGTGAGTTTGAACCTCCAACCTTGCAATTCAAACTGACCTTGTGGTCTAGTGCTTATCCTACAGCACCACACCAGAGTTCTTCAAAATATTTTATCTGCATTTCTAACCAATGCAAATCACCATCTATAATTTTCTAGTTTACCTTGAGCAACCATTTCTACCATAAATGTGTGTCCCACAATCAATTAAATAGGTTCTTCTTTCTTAGAGAAATGCCCCCATTCCATGTTATATTCTCTTTTCAACTTCATCCTTGAATACCCATTCCTGATTCCTTCCATTTAATTTCACCTGAACTCTTTATATAAACTTTTGTTTGTTTGCTTTTCTTCCATGTACGATAATTTGTGTGGCTGTTTTCATTCAACATTTCTATCTTTTCATGAGCAGTAATCTATCATATGTGCACATTAGCAACAACTCTTGGAAAGAGTGGGAAATGCTGAGTTTTTCTCCAAGATCAGAGCTTCTATCAATTTTAAGATAAGAAATTGAAAAACAGACAATTTACCTGAAACTTGGTATTTCCATAAGAAGTAGCATCCTCTATCGAGGCCTTGACAGTAGCTTGCATCAAAGAGTTCAGTCTTGGTGTGTGTTACCTGCTCAAAATGAAATATGATTTTTCATATTTGCAAAATCTAAAATTCTATTTGCATGCACTTAAATGGTATCAATATTGTTGTTGTTGTTGTTAAGTGCCATTGAGTTGGTTCTGGTTCATAATGACCGTATATAGGGTTTCCAAGAAGCAGCTGGTGGGTTTGAATCAATGGCCTCGCAGTTCAAACTGACTTTACTGTCCAATATGGTGCAGTGGGTTAATGTACTGGGCTGCAAAGCTGATTTGAACCACAAGGTCAGTAATTCAAGCTCACCAGTCATTCCTAAGAAACCCTAT